GGTGAAAACCATAGGTTTAAAAATAAAATGAAATGTATATTCAAAGAAAAAAGATGTTAATATCAAATGCCCTTGTGTTGTCAAAATTTATAGAAAATAAAAAGAAAAGAGAAGAGTAGCGATTGGGATGTCCTAGATTCTGGTTGCACACCATGTGACCATTGCATCCTCATAGCTCGGATCCATCAATTTAATAGTGTTAATCATGTTTCTCATGGGTTTGTTGATGATCATAGCAAGGCGAGATGAAGAGACTTGTGGTTCCCCGCTTTCCCGATTCCTTTCATTCCATATATGTGAGATACGTACATATTTAAAAAAAAAAAATGAAATTGGATGCTTGAGGATCAGAGATTATGGATAGAATATAGTTTCAATCGGCAACAATGTGCTATCGATCTGGTGATAAATTGTATCCAAACCACTTTAGAATATTGACATGTGAAGAAAATTAGATGATCTCGCAACTCCGAATGATTTGCACACAAAACACATGTATCCAATATCCTTGGATTATATGGTTTCATTCGATCTTCCGTAGTTAACCGATTGTGTACGGCTAACCAAGTGATGAAAGCAAATTTTGGAGTTCTATGGTCAAACCGAAAACCCCTAGTTACAGTTTGTTTTGTTTTATAATGCACCATAATTAAAACATGTTCCTGTTTTAATTAATTGATCTTCGTGACTGCTAACCAAACATCTGAGGAACTCTAAAATCAATAACATAAACATAGTGGAGAAAGAAAGTTTACATAGTGGGCATGAATTATATTTTTTGATCGAAAAATATATATTTTTTTTTTCTTCTTTACATAGGAACTCTAATGAAATGCAGTGCAGTAGATGGGCCCAAGAACTACAACGAATATAGAAATATATTTTAGTTATGTCACTTGGGCTCAACAAGGAAGCCCTCCTATACGCATTGCATATGAAGACAAGTATTGAAAAATGGTGTCACTTTTGGATGAACATACTATTGCTTATCGATCATTCTCATAACATTTCCAAAAAGACAAAAAGTAATGTATATAGACTACGGAAAAATATACTTTCCTTAATTTTTCTATACGATTATATGAATGTCACAACATAATAACTTTAACCCAAAAAAAAAATGTCACAACATAATAATAAAATTGTAGGGGTTATGAAAATGCAAAGGAAAATTAGTTCACTACTTGTTTTTACACATAAGTACGATGGAATATCTACATCGCAAAATTTGTTTTCGTCTAAACTGATGCACTTCGATGTAGTTGCAATTAAACTTGGCTGTGCGACATGAAATCAACATGACACAGTCCATATTGCCAAATGCCAACCACATTCACTGTGATTCCATCTCCAAAACAACGTCATCAAATAATCCATTTAAAAATAGAAAATTTACAACAGATTTAAAGTATAAGCAAATTGTTAGGTTTGCTTAATCAATCTTTTTTGGCATGATATCAATTAGATAGGTTTAAGCAAATTAAACTAATCTCTAAAACTTTAAATATTTCATTTTCTAAATGATATTTACATTGTTAGCAAAAAAAAATTGAACTTGTCATATATAAGGACTAGACAACTGAACCATTCTATAGCAACATTAACTTTGAGACACCATAGTGTCCATTTCTAACAGTATATGGATTCTAAAATCATTACCTGTTTTCTTATAGTGAAATTTATCCTAGGGACAACTAAACATATATATGGTGCACAAGTACAAGGAAACGATTCTTGTTGTTATATGTATATATTATTTTAAAACTCTAAACCTGACACATTACCAATTAGATATTGACTGACATTCACACCAAATACTTCAGGACGACTAAGTGAAACAACTTATGAACGGATG